GAACAGAATTAAACTACTGCACATGCTGTATGTAAGTCAGGAGGAGCAATAGGAATGACTATTTTACATGAATCTCGCAGGTCAGGACAGGGCAGTAAGATAATAGTCAAGCCTAGGTTTTGATGAGTGACTATGCCCAGTAAATTTTCAAAGGCAACCATTAAGCCAGTGGCTCTAGAACTTCGGTGCCTGGGGGGCTTGTGTTCTGGCCACCCCAGAACCTCCACTGGCTCCTAGAATTTGCATTCCTAACATGCTGCAGGCCTTCTGATGCTGCTGGCCCAGGGATCCCACTTTGAGAACTACTACACGGAATCCAGAGGGGCAGAGAGCTTCCCTTCCAAGCCAGAAGAGGGGAAGAACAGAATGAGAAAGTGAATAGCTGGTAGGGCAGACCCACCGTCCACCCCGACCTGCTCTGTCCGGGAGAAACACAGGAGCAGGCACCTGTATCATGCTAGATCTTCTGGTAGCCACACTTAAAAAGATGCAAGTGACACGAATTTTAACTAATACTGTATTTTATTTATATCAGTACACCCCAAATATTGTCACTTTGATATGTGATCAGGGACAGATGATTAACAAGATAGTTGACAAATTTTCCGCCCTAGTAAGTCTTCAAACTCCAGTGTCTACTTGACACTTTAGGCACCTGTCAATGTGGACGAGCCACGTTATGTGACAAGCACTTAGTAGGTCCATGAGGCTGGAGCCACCTTTCAGGACAGAGCAGGCCTAGCCTGTAACACGAGCCTGCAGAGGACCAAGACCCCCACAAGGTCACTGAGTGTCCACTCTGTGCCAGACACCAGGCGGACCACTGCCCTCAATATCCCCTGCAGCCCTGCCATCATCTGCAAGATTGGGGATTATTTATCAATCCCATTTTACCAACGAGGAAACAGACAAAGAACATTGAAAAACATTTCCTCAAGATCATCTCTGGTGAGCAGAGCTGGATACAAGCCTCCCTTGACCCTCTTGCCGGGACCTCCTCTGCAGGATGTCTCGCAGCAGGACTTGCAGCAGACAGTGACTATTTTAGGCTCTGTGGGCCAGATATCTCTGCCACAACCCTCAACTCTGCTGCCATGGCACGAAAACCACCTTAGACAAGGTGTAAACAAGTGGACTGGGCTATGGCAGGATCAAAATTGTATTTAGAAAAGCAGGTGGAGGGCTGGACATGGCCCGGGGCACATAGCCTGCCCCCTGTGCATGGGCACACAGCGGTCTCCTCAGCAGGCATGATGATATTAGCCGTAGTCGGTGTACTAATGTTCTGTGGGTGTGTGTGCATGTGCAGGTGTGCGTTCTCCGTGCACTCATGCACTCTTGGGCGCATGTGCTGGGCCCTGATGGGAGAAAATCAGCTTCTCCTCCTCAAGTCCCCAGGCCTCTGGGCTCCTGGAAGGTTCCGGCAGGGTTACCTCTCACAGTGACTCCCTGGGGCCCAGCCCTCAGCCTGGCTATAAACGTGACTTATTCCTCCTCTCAGGGCTGAGGAGGGGGCGGTAAGAGCCAGGTCTGCAGCAATCCCAAACATAAAATGCAGCCTAGTGCCTGCATTTTGGAAATCGCCTTTAGTGAATGGTTAAGACCCCAAGGCCCCATCCTCCCGTCCATCCCTCTGTCCTTGCAGGTCAGGCCAGAGTGGGAAGGGGAGCGAGTGCTGAGTAGCTGTCTACACAGAAACCCAGAGGAATGGTTTCCCCCAGCAGCCCAGCTGCCCTGGAGTTCCTGGAGCCCTGATTCCAGGATAATGGGAGTAGGAAGCCAGCTCGCCTCCTGCCAGCATGGGCCAAAGCCTGTGAGCTACAGAGTAGCGCACAAACACACACACATGCACACACATGCACGCACACATGCGCATGCACACACAGAGCACAGTCACACACAGGAAGTTTCCATTTTGTCTGTGTCCATCTATCTGCCTTTCCCCTGCTGACCTTGTCAGGGTTGCCTATCTCCCAAGGGTCCCTTGTGGTCCCTTTCTTCTCCTTCACTCCAACCTTCTGCTTTCTTCCTCCTCCCCATCCCCCTTTCAGCCTGGCACTGCAAGCCCACCCGGCCCAGAATCTCGGCCCCACCCTCACCTGGTCCCTCCCCTCACCTGGCCAGCAGCCCCATCCTGACTCAGGAGGACGAGATCCCTCCCTGGGCACCTGAGCTGAACTCCAGATGCATTTTATCCCAGGGGTGCATGGGGCTGAAGCAGCTGGAGGCTAAATTCTAGATATAACCGGAAGTGCCCAAGCCCTGGGAAAGGAACCTCTTGTTCCCAACATCAACAGTTCCCAACTGAGGGCCCACTATGGCTTCACATTCAGAATCCATGATATTCCTATCAGTGCAGAAGGTAGATGTTACTACACCCATTTTGTAGATAGAGAAACTGAGGCTTCAGGAAGTTTGCCCAAAACCTGGTTCACAAGAACAGCCTGGACCATGTCCCAGACTTCTGAGTGACCAGTGCCTGTACCTGGCAGGATGCCATTCGTGGGAACTGGTGGCCGATCCCTGAGCCTGATCATGGTTCTCTACCGGGCAGGCTGCCTGTCGAGAGGGGCACCTGGCTGGGGGTTGAGCCCTGGGTGGGGATAGGTCTGCAGGGCCAGCTGTGGCTCCTCCCAAATAAATTCCTTGGTGCATGGCTTAGATTTCGAACTGCCTGGGGCACGGTGCCCCGCTGTTCTCCTGTGGTGTAGAATACAGGCTTCATCCCTCACAAGGAGGGAAACGTGATATCAGCAGTGACTCCCTCTCTACCCCACCTCTCAGCACATTCACTGCCTCTGCATCCCCACAGCCACTTTGTGCCAACTTTACGGAGAGGGAAACTGAGGCACAGGGGAGGAAGGACCCTGTGACATGAGGGTGAGGGATGAGTGGGGGTCCCCAGGTGGGCGCAGTGGTTTCCGTCCTTCCAGGAGCTTAACCCAGAGAGAGGCAGGGAGGGAGGTTAGGAAGATCTGGGAGGAGGAGCAGAACACTCAGACTACACTGTATTCAGGGGGAGTGTCCTGAGTCCAAACCCCAGTCCCAAATCCTCCAAAATCTGAAACTTTCTGAGCACTGGCATGACACCCCCCAGTGGCAATTCCACATGGGGAAATTGGACTCCAGCCACTAAAGCACTGGACCAAGCACCTGCAGCCCCAGGGTCAGGTACACTTGACACATAAGCAAGTTTCCGTTTCTGCTTCATCCACCCAAGTCCGCTCATTACCCACTGCGTGTATTCCGGACTCTGCGAGGATGCGCAATCCCTCACGCTGCTGGTCCCAAGGATTTGGATACGGGAAACTCAGCCCATGCAGTCCATGCAGAAGCCTCAGGACATAGCAAAGTGTGCATGTGTTCACAAATGCCCTCTCACACGTGTGAGCACACATGCTCACACTCATCCACATGCACAACTACCCATCAGCCCTATTCAGGGATAGTCTTTTAACATGTAGTATACATCTACGCACATTGAAATTATACATTTTACATACATATACTTTTTTTTTTGGTACCAGGGATTGAACTCAGGACCTTGTGCTAACAAGGCAGGTGGTGGCACCACTGAGCTAAATCTCCAGCCCTATACATATATTTTTAAAATGTAGTTGGGATTACCTTGAACTTTCCTTTTCCACTCAGCAATCAACTTTGGACATTGGCCAAGGTCAAAACACTTCTCCTATAATTTTTAAATTAATTGCATGAATTCTAACTATGAACAGAACATTATCTATTCAAATAAGCTCCCATTGATAACTATTATTGCTTTCTAGTTTAATTTTTTTGAAGTTTTAGTAAAATGCATGACCAGGAGTGGTGGTGTACACTTATAATCCCAGCACTCAGGAAGCTGAGGCAGGAGGATCACCTGATGTTTCAAGCTAGCCTGGCCTACATAGTGAGTTCAAGGCCAGCTTGGAATACCTAGCAAGACAAAAAACAAAAACAAATAAATAAACAAACAAACTATATATGTATATATGCTACTTTGGTAATAACGAAATATAGCAAGAAGAAAATAACCTTATTCTCCCCAGCTCCCAAACTCAGTAACTAACCATAAACACTTGGTGTGAACTTATTACCCCTGTTTTAACTCTATGCTCTATTTGTACTGATGGATAAGCATTTTTTTAGATCATCATAATGGGTCATTATAATTAGATCACTATGTAGGATTTTGGCAGGGTTGTTTCTAATCAGGCTGATTTTTAACGCTTGTCATTTCTCGTTGTATTGCATCTGTTTGGGTCTTTACTTAACCCTGTTTTAGAGAGAGTCTTTTTTCCCTGGGCTGGATCTGTGGAACTTGAACTTTGCCTATTCACTGGATGTCAGTGCAGCCAAGCTGATTGTGAAGGAGTCGGAAATGGTGGAGAAATCTCTCATTTTTTTCCTGCCCATGAGGGCCATTTCAGGAACCAGCTTCAGAGTTAAGGAGTGGAGCTGGGCCCCATTTATCCCAAGAAAATGAAGCACCCAGCTGCCCAAAAATGACTTCCACCGCCATGTTTATGATAGTGAGAAATTGGAAACATCCCCAGTGCCCATCAATAGGAGGCAGGCAAAATAAATCACAGCGCGTCCTTCCCATGCCTCGTGCCACCACCACAGTGGAGATCTCTATTGAGATGGACGACATCCTCCACCGTCCTGGTGACAGAAACGCATCCCAGACGAGAGCATGCCATGAAAGGCTGTGGGGCTGTGTGTTTGCAAGCATGGGTGATTGTGTCTCCCAAAGAGTATTTAACTGACCACGCCCAGCTGCTGTCCTGGGTGGCGAGAACAGTCTCATGTCTGCTTTATTTCCATTTCTCTCTGGAGTAAGTTTAGCATCTTTTCTTTGCAGAGGTAAAGATTACTTTTGTGATAAGGGAGGGGTGCAACCTGAAACAAACCAAAGCCACTGTGATCTGTTTGGGGGCGTGGGGACCCGCCCACCTCCTGGTCCCCGCAGCATGGCTGTGCATGGTTGTGTGTTGCAGACTCAGACAGCCAGTGCAGCCCCACAAGGCACAGCCTTGGCCTGTCAGAGGGCGAGGAGCAGCTGGACCGGCTGCAGCATGTGGAGCTGGTCAGGACCACACCCATGTCCCACTGGAAGGCCAGCACCGTCCAGGCCTGGCTGGAGGTGGTCATGGCCATGCCCATGTACGTCAAGGCCTGTGCAGAGAACGTGAAGAGCGGGAAGGTAGGCAGCTCCAGCCGGTGGGACACACCCTGGGTGTCCTGTGGGCCCCACCCTCCCGGGAGCTGGCCTGTCCCCCATCCACTCCACCGGGGGGAGGAGGAAGAGCAGGTCTGGAGCCAGTGGGTCTGTGTTTGGGCTCCAGAGTTCTGCCAGAGCACTGTTTCCCTAGCAAGGCACAGAGCCTCCATTGCCTAGTCCAAAATGGGGCAAACTTGCTGGGTGTGGCAGCACATTCCTGCCATCCCAGCACTCTGGGAGGCTGAGGCAGGAGAATCACAAGTGCGTCCCCCCTCCTGGAGCAGGTGCTGCTGAGCCTGAGCGACGAGGACCTGGAGCTGGGCCTGGGTGTGTGCAGTTCCCTGCACCGGCGCAAGCTCCGCCTGGCCATCGAGGACTACCGAGATGCTGAGGCAGGCAGGAGGTGAGCTGGGCCCCCCGGAGCCCAGGGAGGAGACACAAGGAAGGTCCCAGGGCTCTGTGTAGCACAGCTGGGTGAGTGGGGGACAACGGGCCCCATATGACACACTGGAGTGCCCAAAATGCCCATGACACCCCCAACCCTGTACAGAGGTGGGGGTAGGGAATCAGTGCCCCCCAGAACTCCTTCACCTCCTCGGGCAGCCAGATCCACCTACACCCACCTGTACCCCAGCTCTTGCCATCCTGGAATGAGGAAAGGGTCCCAAAACTGAACTCTGACTGCTCCCAGGAAGGGGCAGAGCAGCGGAAACAGGCAGGACAGAGCTCATTGGATGCCGAGTGCAGAGGGTCAGGCGGGGAGGGGGGTCCTCTCAGCAGCTCACTGGGGGCTGGCTGGCTGGAGGCCCTTTCCCCTAAGGTCCTTCCTCGTGGGGCTGTGTCCCCACAGGGCTTCCTCCTCACAGACCAAGCCCCTCATTCCCCAAGCAGCTCCTGGGAGAGGGATGGAGCACCCCCACCAACCGCCACACTGTCCACAGCTTTCGAGGGGGACCCAGCTTTGTAAAGCTGACACTTTCTGCTTTGCATAATTATCTCCTTCACTGGCTTCCCATCATTTTCGTGCAGTTAATTAATCAAACCTGGTGGTGTGTGCGATTATTTGCTGAAGTAGCTTCATGGATTAAAGAAAGAAGGGGTTGGGGGTGGAGAATCAGACCAGTTGAAAGCAGGGAAACCAAAGCCATGTGACCAGGAGAGGCAGGAAATGCTGAGACAAGACACACTCAGAAAGCTGGGGAGCAATTCCAGCAAGTCAGGAAGGAATCAGGTCCATTTGCTGATCGGGGCGCTGGCCAACCAGCCTAGGGTCAAGGCAGGGGCTGGGGGATGGGGTGGGGGTGTGGCAGGACCAGGAGGACCCCCTCTGGGCTCCCCCCCCAGGATCCCACAGCACCACCCCACCCCACCTCCTAACCTTCCATCCCCACTCCCTGAGGCTCCATTACCCTGATTGGAAATTCCTCTTGCCCCTGACCCACACCCAGAGGTGCCTGCGTTCATTCAGTGAACCAGGCAGGACATTCTGCTTCTGCTCTCAAGAAATTTGGGGGACCATGTCCACTGCCCGAGGTCCCCTGAAATGCGGCTGCCTTAGTCTGCTCCTGCAGCTGTAACAAAATGCCACTGACCTAGGCTTAAACAACCAACATTTATTTCTCACGATTCTGGGGCTGGGAGTCTAAGATCAGAAGCCTGCACGGTCAGAGGTGGGGTTCTCTTTACTTCCTGCCTGTCCCCATGTCCTCACTTGGCAGGGAGGTGGTGGGGAGAGGGGAGAGAGGGAGAGAGATCCTCATGACCTCAGGTAACCCTGATCCCACCCAAAGGCCCCACCGCCAAACAAGATCTCTAAGAGGGCCAGGGCTCCAGCAGTGGAATTCGGGGGCAAGCTTTCAACCACAGCAGTACTGACCTGAGAACCCCCTGGAACCCAGAGTCCATGGTGTCCAGGGACGGGTGGACCCATCCCCAGGAGGGTGGAGCCCCAACACTGGACACCCCAGGACCCCTGGGGGAGAGGCCTCAGTTTGGATTTTCTGTTTCATGTGGAAATCTGGCTGTCTCTGACTTGCCAGGGGACCTTGCCTGCTCTGGGACTCAGTTTTCCCACCTGTGAGGGGGCTTAAGCTAGGAGAATAGTTTTTAAATTTTGAGGGTCATGACTTCTTTGAGAACCCAATGAAAGCTTTTGATACCTTCTCCAGGAGGAGTATGCAGACCTGGTAAGTGTGCACTGTCCAACCCCCTGGCCCACCCACAAACTTCCCATAGGCCCTGGGCTTGGGGTGAGAGCCCAAGTGAGCCCTCTTTGAGAGTATTTCCAACACAGGCACCTGTGTGGAGTGGGAACCATGCTGGCCTCTCTGTGCCCGGTTCCCTGACCTACAAAATCCTGAGAGCCAGACCCACCAGGCCCTTGCCAATCCTCACCCGTCCCTTTGTGAACACAACTTCAGTGCTGGGCAGATGTTCTCACCTCATCCTCATGATGGGGAGCAGGATGCAGAGGACTCACACATACATCATGCTGCGAAACCTCTGACCTCAAGGTCACTGCTTCCTGTTCTGCCTCATTACCCTGGTGCTGAAATCAAGGGCGACTGAGCCTTTATAGAGCACTCGGTGGATCCCAGGCCCCATGTGAAGGGTCTGACAAGCGCGATCTCAGTCCCTGCACCTCCATGAGGCAAGCAGTAGACTCCCCATTTTACAGAGAGGGAAACTGAGGCCCAGAGGTGCAAGATCAATGAGCTCAGGGTGACAGACCCAGCTGGCCAGTGACCCAGATGGAATCTGTACCCTGCCTGTTCTCAGGCTGCAAGGTCGAATCTGACCCCAATTTGGGGAGGGGACAGTGACAAATTTTATACAGGGTTTCCATCACTTTCCAAGCCTCACCATTTGACTTAACTCGGGCTCTTGCCGCAGCGTAAACCAACAGCTGGTTCAGTGTCTCAGCCCAGAGGCCCCGGGAACAGCTTTTCGAAAAGAGAGCTGTTTTGAAGCTCATGCACACACTCACAGTGGGTACACAGATGGGTATTCAGATGATAAGTGGCCTCCCTCTCAACTGGTTAGTGAGGTCCCCACCCCCACCCACCAGCCGGCCCTCCCTGCATCCAGATCTCCCCTCTTCTTCAAGGAGAGGAAGCTGATCTGGCTTCCATCAGAGGCAACCTCAGCCCCTGACACTGGATTCAGAGGGCCATGAGTGTCAGTCATGGGGATTCCTTGCCACAGGCTGGGCCACTCCAGAGGGCAGGGAGGGGTCAGCCCCAGGCCCCAGGACCTGTGGGGCCTGCAGGAAGCTTGTCCTGGGCTGGAAGCTTCTAGTTCCCTGCTCCCCCAGCCCTGCTCCATCCCCACCAGTTGGCTACAGGTCGGACACTGTGAGCTTAGACTGAGCTGGAAGGGGGGGGGGGGTACCCGACACACTGTCCCCAGATCCTGCCCTCCAGGGCCTGACACTCTAGGGAGGCAGCAGGCCAGGTTAACCACAACAGGGCAGGGGCAGGATAGGGACCCCAGGATCAGGGTGGAACCCTACACAGCTTCCTGTGCTCAGGCACCCAGCTGTCTGCAGGAGTCAGCGCAAAGAGGGTGGGTAGGGGCAGAGCAGGCCAGGGGACAGGCCACTAGGGTGCCCTGCAGGCTCTGGGAGGGCCCAGGCAGGGGAGAGGGAGCCAGCAGCCTCACTTCCCTTAGCCATTTTCCTAGGTGTCCAGCAAGTGCCCGCTATGTGTCCAGCTCTGCCACCCACAGCAGTGACCATAGCCCCGGTACCCTAGGGGAGCAAGAGAAAATCAACTGGGGGTGGATCCATTCACTTTTCAATGCAATGTGCACCAGGTGAGGTGGCACACACCTATAGTACCAGCATTCTAGAGGCCGAGGCAGGAGGATCACCATGAGTTCGAGGCCAGTTTCAACTGCATAGTGAGATCCTGTCTCAAAACAAACACACACACACACACACAAGTGCAGTGTTTGATTTAATGCTTTGAGGGAATTAGGGATTGAACAGCAGGATTGGGGTGGGGGTAGCTTTGGACAGAGAGAGGAGAGGTCAGATATGGAGGAAGGGGCAGAGGGTGCAACGGCAGGGCTGCAAGGAGCAGGACAGACAGAGGCAAGGAGCTTAGCACACCCCAGAACCATTGCAGTCCCTCCCCAGTCTGAGTGTAGAGTGACAGGGGGCAGTTGGTGCGGGCTATGCAGGCTGCACCCTGCAGGCCACTCGGACTTTGGATTTTATTGCCATGCTGGGAGTGATGAGATCGGATGAGTGGGTTTGTTTATTTTCTGATTGTTTGTTTGTTTATTTGAGACAAGGTCTCAATATGTAGCCCAGGCTGGCCTCAAACTTGCAGTGATCCCCCTGCCTCAGCCTCCTGAGTGCTGGGATTACAGGTGTGTGCTTCTGTGCCTGACCCAAATTAGATTCCTAATGCAATAGAAGCCACTGCGGCCAGCTCTGATTGACAGTTTAAAGGACCCTGTAGCGGTCAAGGGGAACGTGGACCGGGTGGCTGGTGCAGAAGTGGGCGGGGGTTGGAGGAGCTACAGGATCCACACTAACGTGGTCCTGGAGTGGGGCTGGGACCAGAGGGGAGGAGAGAGATGCGCTGACTTGAGGGCTCTGCATAAGGGCAGGGGTGGGCAGGGGAGCGAGAGGCAGGTGGCTCCGGGGCTGCACAGGGTGGTCAGTCAGAAGCTGGGAGAGGAAAGCGGGCCCAGAAGAGGCAAGGAGCTCAGAGGCTCACAGGACAGGAGAGTCGGGTCCTTGGGGTCCTCACAGATGAAATCCAGAGTCCGGGGCTGGGGATCGCCCACAGAGGAGGCACGTGGGGGAGACCAGCCCATTTCTGGCAGCGTCCACACGGAGCTCGGGGCTCGGAGGTGCTCAGCGGGCATCAGTAGGGTGAAGTGGGGAGGAACAGCCAGCAATCAGGAAGGCAGACAGCGACCCCCTGTGAACCTATTAAGTGCTTTCCCTTGCACCTAATGATCCCCGTGTCCTGTCTTGGCTGCCACTTGGAGACTGCTTATCCAGCAGTGCTCAGGTTATTTTTCAGCACCCCTCTGCTGTTGGGATGCAGCGGACCTCGTTCCTCCTGCAAGGCTGCCACCGTGTGGCGAGCTCGGGAATGACAGCCGAGGGACTGCTGCACCAGGCAGAGCCTGCACTGAACCCATTTGAAAAGCGTCCGCTGTGCACCCATGCTGTGCCACTGGCACACTGTCTGGGCAGGACCTGGAGCAGTCTGGATGTGGCAGGGAGGCGGCGAGAGAGGACTGTGAATAAGTAAAGCTCGGGTTTTCATCCTGACCCTGCAGTGCACCACGTGCTCTTCCGGGCCTCCTTGTCTGTGGGGGACTTGAGACTCAGTCCCCTCCTTGCAAGCGCATTGAAACCCTCCGTGACCAATGCCTCTCATCAAGGCCTCCAACCTGGAAAGTGGACAGAACACAGTGGAGGGGTGGGCGACGGGTGCCCATCAGGTGGGCCAGGCTACAGCCCCGTGGGAGCCTGCGGGGAGGTGAGGGGTGGGCAGGGCACAGAGGTCCCAGAGGTGCTGCTTGCATCCCTTCTGCTCTCTGTCTTTGTCCCTCTGGCTCTCTGCAGTGCCCACACACGGTCACTTGTCCCTGTTCTTTCGTTTCCCTCTGCTGATCCCGGTCTGTTCTGTGGGTCTCTGTCTCTTATCTCTGCCCACTCTCTCCCCATCCCTGCCTGTCTGCCCCATCCCTGTCATCTGCCTCTATGGCCTTCTCTGTCCTCCCCACTCCTTCATCCTGGCCCTCTCCTCACCTGTGCACCCTTTCCACCATCCCTGTGTGGCCCCCTTCCTACCCGCTCCTCTCTGGCTGTCTCCCCCAGCCTGTGCAAAGCTGCCGAGCTGGACCATCACTGGGTGGCTAAGGCCTGGCTGAACGACCTCGGCCTGTCACAGTACTCCCAGGCCTTCCACAACCACCTGGTGGACGGGCGGATGCTGAACTCCCTGATGAAGCGGGACCTAGAGAAGCACCTGAATGTGTCCAAGAAGTTCCACCAGGTCAGCATCCTGCTGGGCATCGAGCTGCTCTACCAAGTCAACTTCAGCAGGGAGGTGAGGCCTGTGCGGCGTCATCCACGCACCCCTCTGTCCACCCAGCCATCTGTCATCCATGCCCCTGCCTGCCCATCTCTTCCTTCCTCCCTTCCTCCTTCTGACATCCACTTATCTGGCAGGCCGGGCCCAGGGTGGGAAGCCCAGGTTCACAGAAACCCAGAGAAGATGCCAGAGAACAGGGGGAGGGGCTGCCCAGCTCAGAGGCCGAGCTGAGGCCTGGAGAGGGCCTCCAGGGATCTGTAGAGGACTACAGAGGAAAGGCGATCCACGGAGAGAATGGGGCAGGGGCGGAGACCAGAGCACAGGTCCCTGGGCACGGGAGGCTCGAGGCGGGAGAGTGACCAGGGACCGTGGGTTGTGGTAAAGAGTCCAGACTCTGAGTGTCCCTCCATTTGGAGTTCTGCCCACCCGGCCTTGGCTCCATGGGGCCACCCTGAATGCCTCCTCCATGTCCCAAGGGAAGAGACCCTCAGTCGCTGGTCCTGGGGTCTGGGTCCCGATGGCTTCCTAGAGTGACGCTGGAGCACAGGGTCAGGAGAGGGAGACAAGGACTGTGCGAGTCTTCACCACCCTCACACCCAGCGCAGGGCCCTGGGAACAGGGAGGGGACGAGGACCTGGCCCTGAGCCACAGTCTGACAGAGGAGCAGGTGTGGATGGTTGTGACCGTCACTGTGGTCAAGGCCCTGGGCTGAGTAGGCTGGCATCTCCATTGAGCACTCAGTCCAGGTGGACCCTGGGGCAGCAGGAGTGGGCATTGGGTGACCCCTGTGGTGCCCATGGGTGATGTCTTACACTGCGATGCCCCTCGATGCCGAGAGGGCTGGCAGACCCCAGGAGCCTGGCCCCCACAGAGTGGGCCCAACATCACCCAGCCCATCCCATATGGTGAGCCCAGAGGCCACGTACATGGGGATACAGAACCAGGTGGCACTGTGGGGCTCCCCCAACCCAGGAAGCAGGGTATCCCCATTTCCCAGAATGGAGACAACGGGATTAAGTGGCACAAGCAGCTGGGGACAACGGCCTACTCCCCAGGCAGGCTGAGGCCCCTTATTCTCTGTGGACCTCGCCCCTCATGCGACCTCTGTGCCCCCACCCCAGCTGACCCCTGTCTTCCCCAAGGCCCTCCAGGAGCGCCGGGCACGCTGCGAGATGCAGAACACGGACCCCGTGGTCTGGACCAACCAGCGGGTGCTCAAGTGGGTGCGCGACATCGACCTGAAGGTGAGGGTGACCCTGCCCCTCTACAGGGGCGCCCTATGCAGATGTGTGTACACACTGCCGCCTGTGGGAGCTGGGGCTCACTCCTGCACCAGCTCCCTGACCAGACGCTCTTGTCATGGAGGGGGACACCAGGCCAGCCCCACTCACCTTCCTGAGCAGGCAGGGGCGAGACCCAATTGCACCCTCCCCCCACAGATACCAGGCGCCTGCTGGGTCAAAGCTGTGGGTCACGAGAGGCCCCTGCCTGTGGCTCTGAGCTGGTCCAGGGGGCCAAGCCTTACTGCTGGGGCCAGGTCCCCACCTGGATCCTGGTCCCCAGGCTGCTCAGCTCCTGCTCTCCCCTCAGGAGTACGCAGACAACCTAACCAACAGCGGCGTGCACGGTGCTGTGCTGGTGCTGGAGCCCACGTTCAACGCAGAGGCCATGGCAGCCGCCCTGGGTATCCCCAGCGGGAAGCACATCCTGCGCAGGCACTTGGCGGAGGAGATGAGCGCCGTCTTCCACCCGGCCAGGTGAGCGCGCCTGGCCCTCAGGATCCCTCCTGGCCTAGTGCCACAAGGGGGGGGGGCTGAGGCTCAGAGAGCCCCCGTAAAGGAGGAAGGGGAGCGCATGCGGCCTTAAGCATGTGCCCAAATGGTGCGGAAGAGCGAGCCCCGCTGGGGAGAAGGAGAGGCAAGGAGGGCGGGATTCCAGCAGGGGACTAGGGTGCCGCCCCACAGGGTGAGATGGTCCTGCCAGGAGGGCACAGTGGACAGAGCCAGGAGGGGCTTCTAATGGTGCTCACGGCCCCGCGGGGCAGACACAGAAGCACATCTGCCTCGGCCTCCGTACCTGGAGAAGTACCGGAGTGAACCCTGACACCCCAGGCCCTCCTGCCCAGGGGCTCCCCTCCCTGCAAGGACGCTGGGGTTACTGAGTGCTTGCTGGGCAGAGTGCTTCCTCCCGACATTGCGAGGCCAGCAACACCACCCCTCCCTTACCCATGAGAACTCTGCTCTAAGTGGCCCTGCCTTGTGCCCACGGTCACCCAGCCAGCAAGTGGTAGAGACCAGGTCTTTCATTCTATGAATATGGTGCATTACACTGATTGACTTTCATATGTTGAATCAACATTTCTGGGATAAATCTCACTTGATCATAGTGTTTCATCCTTATTCTATGTCGCTGGATTTGTTTTGCTAGTATTTATTTATTTATGATACTAGGAATTGAACCAAGGGCGCTTGCACTGAGCTACATCCCCAGCCCTTTTTTAAATTTGTTTTTGAGACGGGGTCTTGTTAAAGTGTCCAGGCTGGACTCAAACTTGGGATCCTCCTGCTTCAGCCTCCTATAGTGCTGGGGTTACAGGCTTATGTCACCACACTCATCACGTTTGCTAGTATTTTACAAGGATTTTTGCATTTGTATTTGTAAGGGATACTGATCTACAGTTTTCTTGTGATGTTTTTGCCTGATTTTAGTATCAGGGCAGAACCAGCCCCCTAGGATAAGTTGGGATGTGTCCTCTCCTCTTCTGTTTTTTTGGAAGAGTTGGCAAGCCTGGTGTTCATTATTCTTTTTAGACATTTGGTAGAATTCACCAGTGAAGCCATCTGCTTCGAGGGTTTTCTTTGTGGGAAGTGTTTTGATTACTAATTCAATCTCTTTACTTGTTAGGGATTTATTTAGATTGTCTATTTCTTTTGAGTCAGTCTCAGTAATTGACAAGCTTTCTAGGAATTTGTCCATTTCATCGAGGTTAGCTCATTTGTCGGCATGCAATTAATCCTATAATTAATGCATTTGATATCTTCTAAGGATGTGTCTGATATCTGCTAAGTTGTAGTAATAGCTGCGCTCGCTCCTGCCTTTAGTCGTCTGTCTGTGCTGTGTCCTGGTCGGTCTCCCTAAAGGTTTGTCCACAGTGCAGACACAGCCCAGATTTGCACCTGGGGCTGGCTGACTCAGGACTGATCCCTGAACCCCCAGAACACATGTGGCCTTGGGGGACAGCAGGGCCACTCCTGGTGTCACAGGGTGGGAAGCAGCAGCTTGGGAGCACTGTGTTTGGCAGGTCCTGCTGTCCAGGGATCCCCTCCCAGTCGGCAGGTGAGACCTCGCAACAGAATCACCAGCCTCTTGCCAGTGCAGATTCCTGGGCCCCATCAGACCTGCAGGACCCGCAAGAGCTGGCAGAGCCCAGGGATCAGCCCATTTTGCATTTTAAGGTCCTTCCTAAGGAGAGCAAAATTTGACAAGACTCTTACTCGGCAAGCTGGTCAGTCAATCCAGAGAAAGGCTTTTCTTCTTGGATCCTTCACTTTTCCTGACCTTCCGGCTGGGGCCATGAGATGTGGGACAGGTTTCAAACATTCTGAGCCATGAGGGCGGCTTGAGCTAAACCTTAGCAGGCCTCGAGGAGCTGATGAAACCTAGCAGTCAGGGTCCCACAGCTGTGCTTGGGCCTGTCTGGGGCCAATGGGTGAGGGAAGGTTCCAGTGGGGACACATAGGATGGCCCTTCTGTCCTGGTAGAGCCTGAGCACTCTACCAGAAATGAGAGCCTCCTTATATAGGGATCTACAGTGTAGGTGAATATGCTCAATGAAGCAGGGGGGCAGAGTTACAGAACATTCCTGAGAGAGGGTGGAGCTTAACAGAACATTCCTGAAAGGTCACAGAGTTCAAACAAGCACAAACTTGTTTTGATACATTGGGCTGGAGCCCAGCAGCACAAACTTACATTTCCAAAACAAAACACTCTGTGGGAAAAAAATGGAGGCAAGGCAAGGGCCTGTCTTACTGTGTAGCACTTCTCTATCATTTTCCCCCTTTGATGCCCCTATATAGGTGTAGCCTCATAGGAGATCACTAGTAGCTACAGGGTCACAGTTTAGGCTCTTTCTGCCTCCTGTTGGACCTCAGGGTCTCAGTTAGCAAAGACCTTTGTGCCAACCTCAAGCAGCTAGGTAGCATTCATGCCAGCAAACCCCTCAAGCTTTTGGAGTTTGTAGTGGATGTCAGAAGTGGATTGGGCCCCAAAAGCAGCATTGGCCATGTGTTGGTTTTCAGGAGCCTCCAGGTCAAAGGGTGTGAAGATGCTGAATGCCTCGAAGAGTCAGTCGTAGAAGTCACCAGGCAACTCATCTGGCTTCTGCAACACAGAAGCAGTCATGGATATGTTAGTTGGCTTTTTGGCAGCTGCACAGACTCATTGTAGGATGGCCTCGCGGTATCTTGCGAGGGCCCCTTGTCCCCCTGTAGTGTGAAAGTCCCATTGTGGCCTTGTCTCAGGAACCATCTCCTTGGCCCAGTCTGCTGGATCTTGGCCAATGGGGGCCAGACCTTGGAGGTACTTTCTGGCCTCACTGATAATTCTATGCCTCTCTTCAGTGTTAAACAGAGTGCAAAATAACTGGCGGCAGTCATCCCAGCTGGGCGAGTAGTTCTGGAAAACAGACTCCATGAGATCAACGAGAGCCTGGGGCTTCTCAGAGTATGATGGAGTATGTTGTTTCCAGTTCAGAAGTTCAGCTGTGGTGAAGGGCTGGTAGTAGAGAATAGCAGGTCCAGGCTGAACAGTGCTGTTGTCCAGGATCCGGGACAGAGGTCAGGTCTCACAGACCAGCAGTTGAACAGCTGGGAATTGAGCCAACCGCAGACGCCTGACAAGAGGTGTCTCGGGAAAAACAATCTTGTTGCTAATCAGGGTGGTGGAGGGACTGGAGGCCAGAGCTGGGAGAGGTGGATAAAGACGAGGGCTGGCAAGAAATGGAGATGGGCTTGTTGAGGATTTCAGAAATGGACTATCTGATTGGACAGATGGTGAGTTGGCAGGCAGACTAGCAGGTGGGGCTGGTGGTGGGGAGTTTCAATGTGGTGGGCTTTCAGGAAGAGCAGGAGCCAGCTGTAGAGGTGCAAATGGTGGCTCATGGAGATAAAGTGGTGGCTGAAAGTCTTCTGGTGGGCCCTGATAAATTGGCTTTTTCCAGGTCTTGGAGAGATGGCCAGTACTTTGGGCTACAAATACCTGACTCCATCCCTCCCTACCAACACAGAATCAGACTCAGAGGGGTAGGGTCTGGGCAACCTCTTGCCAAGAATCAATATAGGGGAACTGATCAAGGTAGCCTGGTTTGTCAGTAACAACTTTCCAGACTGCACACACTCTGAACATCCAGGGTTCTATGAGGGGGCCACCCTGCACTAAACTGTGGCCAATCTGTTTTTGAAGAGGGTCTGCAACCTTGCAGGCTTCAGTCTTAACTCCATATTCCTCACTAAATCCCTTCTTAGAATTTTTGACCATTCAATCTAGGAGTGCGGGTTTACTATGGTTGTTACCCATGGTGTATATAGTGCCCTTGAACAGTGGCACAACAGACAAAGGATGAGAGCCCCCAAAGAAGACCACACAGGTGTCTGCCTTGCCATGTCTCTCGAGGGAGCTTAGGTGTATTTTGGCTAAAGAGCAGGGGTAATCCCCTGCTTGGTCAGCCTCCCACTACTGGAGGTGGGTTACCATTATGCCATTCAACACTGCCGCTGAACCACAGGGTAGGACCCAATCAGACTCCATAGCTGAAGCTGTGGAGCCACACAGACCAGTACTGGAGGACCATGACCAGTTACACGCACTCACACATTCACCATTTATTTGTATGTAACACACCATAATTCTTTTTACATCTCCTCTCCCCCTCCTTCCCCACTCCCTCCATCTCGGTCCCTTTCTCATTTGCAAAAGCTGTCTCCCTATTTCCTATCATCTATCTTTTATTTTGCTCTTTATTTATTTAATTTTCTTTTCTTTTCTTTTCTTTCTTGGTACCAGGGATTGAACTCAGGACCTTGTGTTTAAGGCAGGCACAGCACCACTGAGCTAAATCCCCCACTTGTTAACTTTCTTTTTTTAAAATTAATTTTATTGGTACATATTAAGTATACAATATAATGACATGCATCATTGGAAAGTTGTACCTTTACATACTCTATGTTAGTTTTTATTTTCTCCCCATTCCCCTGCCCTCCCTTTAACCCCTCCACCCCTCCCTATTTACAAAGACTTTCTTTCCATTTTTTCATTTTCTCATATTAATTCCATTCCCTTCTTTCCTTTCTCGAATCCCTCCCACTTCCCTTTTCCCTTTGTACCTTTTTTTCCTATTTCACAATATCTATTATGCCTTTTGATCCTTATTTACACTTTCAGTTTCTCATACCAGAAAAACTATTTGGTATTTACACATGTCTGTCCTATTCATTTCACTTAAGAGTACCGCCTCGATGTGCATCTATTTAGCTATGTCTCTAATTTCTCATTCTTTATGGCTGAGTAGTACTCCAGTTTATTTTTAAAAACCACACACACATTTTCTTTATCCAGTTACCAGTGGATGGGCAATTGGGCTGTTTCCAAGCTTTAGCTATTACAAACTGTGCTGCTATGAACATGGATGCACATATATCACTGTGGTATGATTCTTTTAATTCTTTTGGAAAGATACCCAGCAGGGAAATATCTAGGTCAA